GGCTGCCTCCCGACGATCCCGTCCCGCCGCCTTCCTCCAACCTTGGACCATCATCTTGCCTTGACTCGGGATCGCCTATACCCAGGTTATCTTGATCTGTAGTGAGCGTAACTCCGACGTAGTCATCTCCCTTCAATCAATGTCCGCCGATCAATCGCGATCCCAGATCGCGGGTCGGTAGCGACCCATTCCCCTTGATCCTGCATGCTCGTGTCGCGGTATGGGTATCGTCACCATCCATCATTCCAGGGGTCAACATTGGGTCATCCGAAGTCAACATCACTCACCGACGTTGTCGCACGCTGGGTCTTGGAGAGATGACTTGAAGTCTTGACCTGGAGTGGATTTCTGTCGCCTCGTCCGACTCTATCTCGTGATCTGGCAGCCGAGGTTGCTTTTCTCGCGAGATCTTGATCGCACTTTACCACAATTGCCCTACAACGAAAGAATCAGCTGCGGATCGAGACAAACTGATGCCACTGGTGTTACCTGAAACGTTGCATCAATATGTTCTACACCATTATCATACCAACCTCCAAGATGGACATCAGGGGATCGGCCGTACTTACGACCGGATCCGGGATCATTTTCACTGGAGAGGATTGTATTGAAGTTTGCAAAGATATGTCGGTTAGTGTGTTGACAGCGAGACTGGAAAAGGATCCAGGGCGAATCGCCGGGGAATCTTTGAGCGACTTATCCATTCCAGATCATCGCTATGGATCACATCCCCTCATTGCCTAGATCCTATAAAGGTAATACTAAGCTGTTGATCTTCGAAGACCTCTTCTCTGGATATGTGATTACCAAGGCGAGCTGATCCAGGACGGCTCAGACCTTGGCAGAATCCTACGAGGAATGTGTGTTCAGCCGATTTGGTGCCACCGAGGTGATCCGCCATGATCGTGAACCCGGATTTATATCCGATTTCTTTCGGGCGTTTAACAAGATCCTGGATCAGCGTCAATGGGCAACAATGGCATATAGACCTCAAGCGAACGGATCCGCGGAAAGGATGATGCAGACCACCACAAAGGCACTCAAAATGTATGTTCAAGATCTGGATCAGAGAGATTGGGACGAGTACACGGAGCGAGTTACCTTCGCGATCAACACCGCTCGAGATTGGATCCGAGGAGAAGCACCGTTCTACATGGTTTACGGCTAGGATCCGAGATCCACACTGATGGCGGTGATCCCGATGGGAAGTACAAGAAGACAGGATCGGGACCCGCGGAGTTGACGATATCGGATCCAGAGGCACTATCAGCAGGCTCGAGAGCAAGTCAATCAACGCTTGCGGGAGGCGATCTCGGATCGGGTGGATCATCACACGATATAGTAAGCCCACATCAAGTCGAGGCCGGATCTCGAGTCTGGTTATACCTGGATCTGTGAAAGGGATATGCCAAAACGCTTTTGCATATGTGACATGGCCCTTTCTGTGTGGCCGAGAAGATTGGCGAGTACGCTGTGAAATTCGAGACCGCCGGATCCGTAAACATCTTCCCAGTGGTTCACGTGTCAAAATTCAAGCCTGTCAGGGAATTTCCGGATCGGCCGGTAATACGTCTTACGACGCAGGATCAGGACCGGCTGGATTTCGACGAAGCACTTCTACCTGGGGATAGCTAGACCCAAGATCGTGGTCCAGACGAGTACAAGGTTGAGAGGACCTCGGATATGAGGACTGACAGGAGAACCAGATATGGCAGGATACTGCGTGAATTCTTGGTACACTGGCGTGGGTACGAAGATCCGACCTGTATCGATGAGGCAGATACTCAACTGTGGAGCGATGATCCACGAGTTTTTGCGGGATCGTGCCAATCAGAATCGGTTTGGCGTGATGCAATCTCACGAAAAGGCCTAAGAGCAAGAACCACATAGGTGAGCTGGTGTAACGATGCACCCTGAAATTCAGGTAGCATCCGCAGCTGCCCTGGTATGAGAGCCGATGCTGGGAATATGGAACTGATACGTGACAGCATATTTTGGGTGGTGAGTGGAGGAATACTCCGCGAACGTAAACCCCAGTCCCGGTCACCCGAACCGAGTGACCGTACACCGTTATTCCAGGAAGGCGAAGCGTGGAGGAACACGAAAAAGACGACTGATACTTTCAGATGGACCAGTAGATATTGGGGGACTAACCGAGAGGAGATGAACCATCCTCGGGGTCCCTGGCCGCTGGACATCCTGAATTGAGGGAGGGTGTCTCGGGATGCCCGATTCTCTTCTGGTGGATCAGTAGAGATTGAGGGGTTAACTGAGAGGACGTGAACGAGCCCCGGAATCCCTGGCCGCTGGACATCCTGAATTGCGGGAGTGCATCCCAAATGGAGACCTTACGAACAACCTGACGGATGGATCAGTAGAGATTGAGGGATTAACCGAGAGGACATGAACAAGCCCCGGAATCCCTGGCTGATGGATATCCTGAATTGCGGAATGTATACCTTACGAACAACCTGACGAATGGATCAGTAGAGATTGAGGGATTAACCGAGAGGACATGAACAAGCCCCGGAATCCCTGGCTGATGGATATCCTGAATTGCGGGAGTGTGTCCCGAATGGAGCCATCACAAATAACCTGAATGGAGAAACAACCCGAATGACACATCGGACGATTCAACTAATGACGTGGTGGGCCAAGGTACAAGACGCGCTATACGCCAGTGCAGACAAAGATCAAGTTGCACTGACGTCAGACTACCTGAAGACCATACTGAAGAGGAGATGAGACCTGTGCGAAGAGTCGGCGGATGCTGTCAATCCAAGGTGGACCATGTGTCAACACTTGATGTGTGAACCCAAGCTGGTCGTTAATGCGACAAGCATACAAAGACCAAGTCATCCAGACGGTGTACATCCACGAGGCGAAGGAGACCGAAGAAATCGAACCCAGAAAGACCAAGATATTGCAAGAATCTGAAGAACATGAAGAATATACCAAGATGAAGATGATTGATAGCTAAAAGTTTAATGAGAGTTTGTTTTGATACCTAGTGCGCAAGTGGTTCGCAGAAACAGTGTTACTAGGAGTACCTCGTCGGAGAAGATCTGCGGAAGACTACCTAAGGGGTCACGGACTCAGTCGACCACACCAAGGACTGACCACGGCGGGACGCGTGAAGACTCTCAACATTCTAAATCCCTAGCCGAGTAACGAGTCTGTCCGTCAGTCGGTCAGTCCGGTCACCGAAAATTCAGCACCGTCTTAAGTGCGATTCTGCCGAGCGCAGCGAAGGCAGCCCTGATTGGTTCTTTTGCTGCCGAGCGCAGCGAAGGCGGCTCTGATTGGTCAATCTCAATGTGGTGTGGATACATAATCGTACTTTACATAGATGGTGTGGTCTACATATCGTACTTTGCTGGAACGTTTGACTTTTGCCCCGTTCTCAGACTCCTGCAGCGGGACACGCGCAACTTGCGCTACTCTGATTGGTCAATAATAGTTTGGTGTGGATACATAATCGTACTTTACATAGATGATGTGGTCTACATATCGTACTTTGTTGTAAAGTACGATGCTGTCGAGCTGCGATTGGTTCTTTATGCTGCCGAGCCCAGCGAAGGCGGTCCTGATTGGTCAATATTAATTTGGTGTGGCTACATAATCGTACTTTACATAGGTGGTGTGGTCTACATATCGTACTTTGTTGGAACGTTTGACTGTTGCCCCGTTCCTAAACTCCTGAAGCGGGATGGCTACACGAGCGCAACTTGCACTACCTATATAATCACTGTGCAACGCCTTAGCCGCAGCAAACTTGATACACATGTACGCTATTACGATACAAACAGCATAGCCAACGCTATTGTTCTATACTGTACTATTATCTAAAACATGGACATACTAATAAATGATTGGTTGACATAAACGTGAAACCATTTGATTGGGTGATAATGTCG